ATTACCAATGGGATATAGTCTAACCGTCAAAATTTCTGATGGAATTCTGTGGATCAATCTGCAACGTGACCACCACCACTTACATAATCACCACGAACTTCACTATATCTGATCGGCCTGGCACATACTACATATTCAACACTCATTCCTATCTATGTTTACAAGACTTCTTTAAACAAACTAACAGAAATATCACAAAGATAGATGAGCAGTGACAACAAGTAATTTACATCGTTTCAACTCATGTAGAAACACAATTTACCAACTTTATGCATTACAACATAACAACTAACATACCTTTCACTTACCACGTAACACCACAAAATGCATTTCCATTCAATAAGGCCTTAAAATTCCTATTGAACAATCAAGTCAAACGTTTCATTAATAGAGAAGAAATATTGCAAATTCAAATGTAATCATTACTAAAGTAGTAATTAAAGGTGATGGTCACAAGAGTCACTGTATCATGTCAGTAAATCACAATAACAATAATAATTATAATAATGATAATAAAATTATTAATAAAATGGATTAAATTGCAGTATAATGTTATGAACAGTCAGTTATTCATTGAATCATTCATTACCAATGGGATATAGTCTAACCGTCAAAATTTCTGATGGAATTCTGTGGATCAATCTGCAATGTGACCACCACCACTTACATAATCACCACGAACTTCACTATATCTGATCGGCCTGGCACATACTACATATTCAACACTCATTCCTATCTATGTTTACAAGACTTCTTTAAACAAACTAACAGAAATATCACAAAGATAGATGAGCAGTGACAACAAGTAACTTACATCGTTTCAACTCATGTAGAAACACAATTTACCAACTTTATGCATTACAACATAACAACTAACATACCTTTCACTTACCACGTAACACCACAAAATGCATTTCCATTCAATAAGGCCTTAAAATTCCTATTGAACAATCAAGTCAAACGATTGTTTGATAGAGAAGAAATATTGCAAATTCAAATGTAATCATTACTAAAGTAGTAATTAAAGGTGATGGTCACAAGAGTCACTGTATCATGTCAGTAAATCACAATAACAATAATAATTATAATAATGATAATAAAATTATTAATAAAATGGATTAAATTGCAGTATAATGTTATGAACAGTCAGTTATTCATTGAATCATTCATTACCAATGGGATATAGTCTAACCGTCAAAATTTCTGATGGAATTCTGTGGATCAATCTGCAACGTGACCACCAACAATTACATAATCACCACGAACTTCACTATATCTGATCGGCCTGGCACATACTACATATTCAACACTCATTCCTATCTATGTTTACAAGACTTCTTTAAACAAACTAACAGAAATATCACAAAGATAGATGAGCAGTGACAACAAGTAATTTGCATCGTTTCAACTCATGTAGAAACACAATTTACCAACTTTATGCATTACAACATAACAACTAACATACCTTTCACTTACCACGTAACACCACTAAATGCATTTCCATTCAATAAGGCCTTAAAATTCCTATTGAACAATCAAGTCAAACGATAGTTTAATAGAGAAGAAATATTGCAAATTCAAATGTAATCATTACTAAAGTAGTAATTAAAGGTGATGGTCACAAGAGTCACTGTATCATGTCAGTAAATCACAATAACAATAATAATTATAATAATGATAATAAAATTATGAATAAAATGGATTAAATTGCAGTATAATGTTATGAACAGTCAGTTATTCATTGAATCATTCATTACCAATGGGATATAGTCTAACCGTCAAAATTTCTGATGGAATTCTGTGGATCAATCTGCAATGTGACCACCACCACTTACATAATCACCACGAACTTCACTATATCTGATCGGCCTGGCACATACTACATATTCAACACTCATTCCTATCTATGTTTACAAGACTTCTTTAAACAAACTAACAGAAATATCACAAAGATAGATGAGCAGTGACAACAAGTAATTTGCATCGTTTCAACTCATGTAGAAACACAATTTACCAACTTTATGCATTACAACATAACAACTAACATACCTTTCACTTACCACGTAACACCACTAAATGCATTTCCATTCAATAAGGCCTTAAAATTCCTATTGAACAATCAAGTCAAACGATAGTTTAATAGAGAAGAAATATTGCAAATTCAAATGTAATCATTACTAAAGTAGTAATTAAAGGTGATGGTCACAAGAGTCACTGTATCATGTCAGTAAATCACAATAACAATAATAATTATAATAATGATAATAAAATTATTAATAAAATGGATTAAATTGCAGTATAATGTTATGAACAGTCAGTTATTCATTGAATCATTCATTACCAATGGGATATAGTCTAACCGTCAAAATTTCTGATGGAATTCTGTGGATCAATCTGCAATGTGACCACCAACAATTACATAATCACCACGAACTTCACTATATCTGATCGGCCTGGCACATACTACATATTCAACACTCATTCCTATCTATGTTTACAAGACTTCTTTAAACAAACTAACAGAAATATCACAAAGATAGATGAGCAGTGACAACAAGTAACTTACATCGTTTCAACTCATGTAGAAACACAATTTACCAACTTTATGCATTACAACATAACAACTAACATACCTTTCACTTACCACGTAACACCACAAAATGCATTTCCATTCAATAAGGCCTTAAAATTCCTATTGAACAATCAAGTCAAACGTTTCATTAATAGAGAGAAATATTGCAAATTCAAATGTAATCATTACTAAAGTAGTAATTAAAGGTGATGGTCACAAGAGTCACTGTATCATGTCAGTAAATCACAATAACAATAATAATTATAATAATGATAATAAAATTTTAATAAAATGGATTAAATTGCAGTATAATGTTATGAACAGTCAGTTATTCATTGAATCATTCATTACCAATGGGATATAGTCTAACCGTCAAAATTTCTATGGAATTCTGTGGATCAATCTGCAACGTGACAACCATCACCACCACCACACTAACATAATCACCACGAACTTCACTATATCTGATCGGCCTGGCACATACTACATTCAACACTCATTCCTATCTATGTTTACAAGACTTCTTTAAACAAACTAACAGAAATATCACAAAGATAGATGAGCAGTGACAACAAGTAACTTACATCGTTTCAACTCATGAGAAACACAATTTACCAACTTTATGCATTACAACATAACAACTAACATACCTTTCACTTACCACGTAACACCACCCTACATGAATAAAATGAAGACAGAATTCAATAAAACAATACCGGATAATATGTAGAGGACAATGTATATTTTATGAATACATTTACACAAGACATACACATTCCGCCATTCTCATCTTTTTGATAGAACAATGACATCCGGTTTTCAGTTACATTCATCTGTCGGATGATAAATCATTTACTAATGGAACTATTACGACCATACTTGATAATAATATAAGAGATTTTAACTTCTGGTAAATTCCATAACTATTGTTGAGTTAGAAAACAACCTTACTATTATTATTATTAATGGCTTTATTCAGTGTTATATTTTTGGTACAAAATAGAATTCTCAGCACAAAGTATTTCATATAACAAAAAAAAAACGGTTGATTCGTTTTGTAATAACTAGTGACAATGGTTTCTATTCAAAGTGAGTAAGATATGTTTACACATGAGTCAATATTCAGCAAGTAACTATACAAACCATTAAATCAGTTTTATTAAACTGTTTAATATAACTCATTTATCAGGCACGGATCTGTGTACTTGACTTTGTGCCGTACTCTAAGTCTGAATACTAGTGTAATGAACGAACACTCAGGTGGAGAAGACCAATCTATTGTTTAATGAAAAATTACAGAATGTTTTTATAAAGTATAAAAACCATACATTAAGTACTTCATGTGCACATCTTCCATCAATTGTCTCTTACAAACTTCATTGTTTCTTCATTCCTGTTTTATTACAATTACTCTCCGTTCACATCCCTGTTCTCCTCAGTTCGATCTTTTCAAACTTCTGCTGTGCGGCATTCCACTTCCGGTTGGTGTTACATACTACTTCTGCCTGTCCACATAAGTAATATGCACCACACTAGTAGTGCTACCGAGCTTCAGAACTATCGCCTAGTAGCTAAAAACTTCATCCCGTAACCACTGGGCAACGACTCCATCTACCTAATTTAAGACTATACGTTTCTGTCCAAGTCATAGTCTTATATGTTCAATTAGGACTTACGAATAAAAGTGTACTTTTTTCCTTTCTCTGAGAGTTTCATTTATACAGACAGTATAAAAATTATTTCAAGTAAGTTTCTAGTCAACAGGAGTGACGGATTCTTGAAATCACATCAAATAATACCCATAAATTTACCTTTTTTTTTCTTAACGACATTAACAACAGATGAGCTCTTTCATTGTTTATTCTTTTCAACAATTAATTCTGGTTAGATATTGAATGATTCATGATGGTGTGAATATGTTTGAACATTATGTCCAACTAACCGTTCAGTCCATTCCAGTTGTAGTAAATTACAAAAACTTACACTGTCTTTGGAAAAAAACCAGGAACAGAATGTAATACTCCGACTATTTAGCTCATTTAATGTATTCTAAGACATTAAGGGAGTAAACATATATTAAATTATCAGAATGGGTTTTGTGGAGAGTTTTAGAAATTTCACAGGTTGAAATCATGAGTCAGTTGAAGCTAGACCACCACTGAAAACCTGGAAGCACTGGATGCGCACTGCTGAGGAGTCCCATACCAGGACGAAACGGCCGTCCAGTGCTTCCAGGTTTTTAATGGTGGTCTAGCTTCAACTGACTCATGATTTTAACCGGTGATATATTAAATTGTTCGGCAATGTATATCACAAGTTGAAAGCGAATAAGAATCAGAAATTCGTACAAAATATCGAAAAGATCACTTAACGAGTGCCAAAAAGTACAAGATTAAGTACTAAGACTCAGAATAAACATGTAAATAACTTACGAGAATACACCTACACAATCTGAGTAAGCAGCAGCCATTATGCTTTGATGACAAACAAGTAAGGTTACAGGTTTATGATGCAACTCGGGATTGGCTGAGTGTAAATCATTACTTTCAAAATCCTGACTAGTTGATTGATTAACTGGATTCGACGCACTTGCCATTGACTCGTCAAGAATTCTTTGTGTAGGACAGTCGGGTAGATAGTCATGCTTAGATGTATTTCCGTTACTAAAGTGATGGGAACGGGAGGATTCAATAAAAATAATGAGAAGACTTATCTTTAAAAATTAGAAGATGAAATACACTGATAAAAGACGAATATCTTCTATTCAAGCAGGTAATGTACACATGTATTTGCTTTAATGCTTACAACTAGAAAGGCTCTTATTGGTTGGCTTGAAGATGATAGCTCTGACAGTCCATACAAGAAGGAACTGGTAGAGTGACCATCAATACTCATGCTTACCTATTCAATTGTCAAACTAGATCTTTCATAAAGATAGTGAAATAGTTAGTTCTTTAAAATCAAAGTTTAGGCTCGATCTAACTAACTACAATAAAGTGAAAACTAAAATGAAATGGAATGTAAAATTAAACAGTCTATCCTATGGATGTTAATCAAATGAATGTCCGAACCCATATGTCACTTAATTAAGCCAACTAGTGTCCATATGAGGTGCCTATAATCAAAGATAAACTTTTTAAAACTTAGGTTTCTTAGACATGATCAAACCGAAGTAAAGCATAGCCTTATCAAATGAAGACGATGGAAAGTACAGTTTTTAGACATCCGTTTACCAGAATATTTGTTATGTCGTAAAAATATATGGAATGTCGTTTAACGATTGATTTTTATCGGTTTATTACCCCAATAGTTGAATGAACTGTCACCTAGACATTATTAAGTTGATGATCAACAAGATCTTGGGACAACTAAAAGGCACCAATTTTCCAATCATAGAACTACGCAGCTTGTAGTATAAATGAAATATCTCAATTTTTAACAATATATGAGTGTTTTTCAGTGATGAAGTTTCCTCTACTTAATGGCCGTTGAAAAAAAAAACATAAGATATTTGCAGCTTTACGATGTTTTCAGTCCAACTTTCGAGGATGGTTGGACCAGAAAGTAAAAAGAAATCTTTATTTAAAATAAGTTTGCCACATGATGAGAATGAAAAATTTGAACCTTCAACTTGGTTAAATCTTATTTTATGAGGCGTAAGCTAACATCCAGCTCGACTCACTAATTTGACCGAAGAAGCATAAAAGTAAGGTAGTAACGTCCAAATCACATTATCCATCTACTACGTAAAAAAGGAATGAAATTAAAATTTGAGAGCGAACGCATCGTACCATATATATCCGTTCTTCATTGTACAATGTTTATGAATTTATATTACGTTATCATACTTTCTCAATTTGTTTTGGGATCCAACTTCTGCTCATTACACTCTACAAAAAGTTATCTTTCTGAGCTATTTGTGAAGTGCAATAACTCAAAACGATACAGTACTGGGTTAGAATTTATACTAGTATGTTTCACTTAACATAATTCTAGGAATTAATAAACAGTCAAAAGCACGTTTTATGAATAATAGGGACTTGAAATTAAAGGTGATTATCAATTAATGAAATTTCAAGTATATATATATATATATATATCAATTGAACTCACTCTTTAGTTCTGTTTGCACCACAATTAGAAGCATCATGCAATGAATTAGTCGTCCGTGTCTTAATCGGTGAATTTTTTATTGTATGTTGCAAATTTTTGGAGCCTTTTATCATTGCATTCGAATTTTTTTTCATAGATAAACTAGCAGTGGTGTAAGTCAGTAGGCCTACATTATTTCCAGGACTAGAATGATTACCACATTGGCTGTCTTTATTTGCACCCCACCTGGAATGTAGCAACAACAGTAACAACTACTGCTATTTACACTAATTAACACTATCATTGATTCATTTTTCACGTTATATTAAGGAAAAAACTAATGATCAAAACAAAATAAGCAATTACATGATATCAAGTGTAAGTACAACTATGTGAAACTTGTCATGATGACTGAGGTGTCCGTTGAAATACTGAGATTTACTGAAGTAGCCTAACTGATAACTTACGAAACCGATTTTTAAATGCCAACAGAATAGATTTTAGAAGACAAAGCCATGAAAATAGCAGAGTATTCAATGATTATTTATTTCCGGTGGTACACCAAGAGAAGACCTAGTTGAAAAGTGCACTATGAAAATTAAAAGGTTCATACTGCAAACAATGATCAAATTGACATTGTTGCCGATGTAGCAACAAAGTTGCATAACATACTGCTGGTTTATATGAGTGGTCGTAGATCCCTTAATCCACCTAAAATTTTAGAGTACTCTATAAATCACTCTAGTAAATCTTTCATTTTTCTATTAATTTGGACGAAATCCTGTGGAAGTGAATATTTACTGCGAAGGATCACACTCTAGATGATGACTTTACTCCTACTGTAGTAAACGATAACTCAGGTGGAGAAAACCAATTTATCGTTTAATGCAAAATTACAATGTCTTCATAAAATACGAAAACCATACATTAAATACATAATTTGCACATTTATCAGTTGTCCTTTATATGCTTCATGATTCTTTTAATTCCATTGTTGTCACAATCACTTTTTGTTCCCCCCTCTATTTTCTCCAATTGAATCTTTCCACTCTTCTGCTTGTATGCATCCCACGTCCGACTGATGCTATATACTACTTGTATCTGCCAACATAAGTAGTATTCGCCACACTACTAATAAAATAACAGGTAGTATGTGTAACCTTTACTTCCCTACGGATATGTGGGATAACGAGTCAGTAACCATGAATACAGTAATATAACGGTTAAGAAAGATTTACTTTGTGTGACAGCTACGTGTGTCAGTCGATTATCTTAACCACAAAAGGACGAAGAATACGAAAACGTCATTACAAAACAAGTGTACCAATCTGTAATTACGACGGTACTTTGTAGCAGAAAGATATTATCATTACAGTGTTCAGAATAAATTCTATTTGTTTACGTCATTATCATGGTATGTATCAGAAGGCAGACGTCCTTGAAATTCTGAAGAAAATCTATGAACTATTTTTCATGGTATTTAGGATTCTTTAAGTCCACTCAACATCTCCCAAAGTTATACTGATGACTAAAAAAATTACCGACATCAGCATTTTCAAAAACTCAGGGAGTGGCAGGTAACGTTTCAGAGGCTTAGAAAAAATTTGATGGGGTTTTAATAATTTTCAGAATATGTCTCCTATATTCCTTCTGTTCGATAAACCGGACATCCATTAGGAAAATAGTGAAAAAAATGCTTGCTCACACAATCCTAAGAGACTATCAAGTTACAGAACAAGATGATAATAACATGTTCACATTGATAATACATGCTATATGGAGTGTAATCTATTTTATAATGTCCATGTCTCCCTAAATTGGACACAACGAAGATTTTATCTACCAATAATATTTATAATCCTTAAATTTGCGGAGCTTCGCCAGACAACTTTATTTATGTATTTTAACACATAGATATTGGTACAAAGAGGTACCTTGGTCAAAATACACTGAAGTAATATGATTACGGACAGATATGATAGACCAAAACCATTGTTTTAAACAAAGTATTTATACGAAATAGTACAATTCAGTTCAGATTGTTAAAAGTATGACTAGAGTTGGGAGAAAACATGGATTGCGACAACATTTGATAGTGGTCATTAGATTACTGGTTTAGTGTTCTACTAATTAAATAACGAAACCTAACTGATAATTAGGTCTTGACTGAACTTTAAGAGGTGAAAAAACTTCTTGATTTTGCAGTCACTCAATAGGTATTATGAAAAACCATTCCCAAAAGTAAAAGAATGTAAGCACAAAATGGGACACCTTTGGCAAAATGAATAATTTCAGTTTTACAAAAAAATTAAACGAACCTGAAGTTTTTCCCAGATTCATCCAATATGAATTCTAGAAAAAGAGAAAATGTGGCTTTTGATTTATATTTTAAAGCATAATTATTTATACTAAATCTTTGCAAACCATACACCAAGAAGTCAGAAACTAATCTGATTATTTGCTAGAATGAATGGATATACAGTTGATGTAATTTACATTAACAGGGGTCACTCAATGGGAGGAGTCACGTATTAGGTATAGAATATGTGGTCAGTGTTAGTACGATGATATATCAAGAAAATTATTTACTTCATAAGACGTAAACAAATCGCCCCGATATAAATTAAAATCAAATAAACCCATTAACCAGGTACTTGAGTATCAGCCAAACTCTAAATGTAGAGGCTGATGATACCAACTGGTCGAAGTGGACGCGACGAGACTCGAACCTGATATCTAGTGGCTGAAGGTCGAACGCGTTAACCACCAAACCACGGCTCTTCCAGACACTCTGAAATGCCTGGTTAGAGGTTGATATTAGGCGATAATCTGTCACATTTACAAGGGGACTGATTTCGCGAACTTGTTATTAGTCCGGGCACTATGTTCATACTTTACTGGTTTCCATCCAGACTGGAATTTCGAACTAAATAATCCAAAGGATTTTTAGTGAAGGCTAATTACGGGAAATTTGAATGAAGCTAATGTAATCTAGAACACAAAGTGTTTGCAAAAACTTATAGTCTTAATGGCCGGCGGACTAGCATGATAATCCCTAACAAAAAGTAGTGTCCAGTTAGACGGTGGTGACATGATTACAGGATTGGTGGTTGGATTATTGTTAAGTAGCTGAGAACAATGGCGACCATCCGCAAATAAACAATGATTTAAAAGATTACTTCTCCTGTCACGTGATGGACGAGACTAGTACGACCTAACCCGAACCATCACACATATAGGTAAATGGAATTACTTGAATACTAGACGTCAGAAATCTAAGGAACGCTTCCACGCATCAAGCAGTAATAAAAAAAGTTGGAATAACAACAGAGGAAAGCGAAAAAGCACAGAGGATAAAATGAATGCTCTATCTCCTACCCTGTTGACGGGTTTCAAACTTTCTGAGTGTGAATGCAACATCTAAAGAACCCGAACTTATTAGTTTAAGTGACAGATATCCATGACTAATGCTCGTACGTATTGCCAATCACGACGTCAATACAGTTTGTTTCATTGATTTGGAAGTCTAAGTACATGCTTATACACTCGCATTTTAGTTATTATTTTAAGGATTAGTGATGGTACTTATTTGTTCTGACGAAAGTAGGTAAGATAGTGAATAGGTTCTTCGATGCTACTTATGACCAAAAAAATCTACCAATATCTATCAACATATAAGATGAAAAATGGTGAATATAAGGTCAAACTCATTATCTCTGCCGGATACCGACATAACACGGTTAGATAGATGAAGTTGGGGAGATAACTAATTTAAATTACAGGAATTTTTGCTAACAAGGTGAAGCTTAAACTAAAGTCACAAACTCAACACATTACTCATCTAAAATGTTTGTCGAAAACCTACATAAAAATTACTTGTTAAAACGTGCAAAGTGAAACGAGTCTTTGATTTTATTAATTCTGATATACCTAGAATTAGAACGTACCTGGTGAGGGCATGTAAGCATGGAACAGTAGGTCTCCACATTTGCCTAGAAGATTTTCTTCACATAAAGATAGTTTCTTAACTAAAATCAAAGGTTTCCAAACTGAGTTTTATATACCTAGAGAGTCCAGCGCGTAAAACTGAGCTTCGTTCTTGAGTGAATTAATATCTACACCATTAAGATTGACCTCACTAGTTCGTAGGTAGTTGAGAATGACACTGAACATATCTGGATCTCTATCTATGAATATCTAATGAACTCAGATTAGCATCAAAAAAACATACAGCCCCTGATTCATCTCTTAGTGTAGGCAAGGCACCATCAAGTAATCTAAAAGGTAAGAACTACAGTAACCGGTAGTTTACATGCTGAAAAATGAGTTTTTGTTCCACAAAAGTGTATTGCGAGAAGTAGAAAACCTGTAAAATGGCAGTGTAATCTGAACTACATGTGTACTTTCGACCACCAACATTGAGGTTGACAATATCACAACGCTTGCTCATGTTTTAGTTCAGCTCAGAAAACGAAGAGCTGAAGGACAGACTTTAAATTCGTAGCATTATTCAATCTTCAACTGATTAATTTTTCCAGCTCTCTACTTGATGTTAAGCTGCAATTCCATGCAATCTGGCAACCCAGCTGCATTACTCCTAGTGAATTTGATAAGTAATTAAGATTTAACATTTCTTAAGCACAAATATGCGTGTCACTCCAGGGAATTGATACTGTTAGAATCATCTATCATGTTACAAGACGGATGACTGATTAGCTATGATATTAAAGATTTTAGAACTGGAATAAAAAAGACCAGTATGAAGAAATACATCTACAAACTGATTAAACTAATGGGAATATAAGTAGGCAATTATAAATGTTTACAAAAGTAGATGAACAGCGATGATAGGATATAAGATGGTATAGGGGTTGCCAATAATAAAATTCGAATTATTGTGTAGGCATGTTAATAACTAGATAAAGAATTTCCTAATGTACACATATGGTCTACTACTGTTCCTAGCGAAGGCCAGTAAACCATATGAATTTTATAGTTACTGAATCTCCTTCAGAAACTATCGACTCGAGGAGCTGTAGTGACACCTGCTGGAAGTTTAATTTGTGAACCACATTCACTTGATCCAAACCAATAAAACGTACAACACAGAAGTGGCGAAGCCCATAAACATTTCATGGATAGGTACTTTCCTGCATCTACACATTCTTTCAGTAGCATCTAACGTACAAGATAGGGACCGAATGAAATCCAGGGTTTCTGTTCCTTAAACTTTTCTAACGCATTTGTGGAAATGTCTCGATGAATAATATTTGTTACGACAGTCTAGTGTTTACTGATTGATGTGGTCATCGAATCCTGAAGCCACAGTGAACTTCAAAGGTGATCTTCCCTATCTGAATAGTCTATTCGTCGGCAGCAGTTACCCTCATTCCATCGTAGTGTTTTGTGACGAAACACGCTAGATTTGACTGCAGCTGTTACCTATGGGGCGGAAATGGACTTTCTGACCAAACATGTCCGTCTATTTTCAGACGAACGATATCCTTATGCACGTAATAAACATACCTAGTAAAACGCATTATGTTCTTGTTTCATTTAGGCTATTCTGACTGACATGCTGAATTTTTTTAACCCAGTTTCTAGTATGGTCATTTTCTAAACATAGTCACCTAAAGGATGTCGAACATATTTGAAAATATCTGATTGATTTGTAAATTATGTAAAGGGCTAGCAATCGTCAAAACAAAGAGTTAGCAAGCTAAAGATTGTTTCCATCATCACCACTCTGAAACTCTTATTGGTAGCTCATAAAATCTGTGGTTATTAATAAGTGTTTTGTTCTTCCAGTGCCACCAACTAGACATCTACACGATTTTCGAAAATATAAGTGGGTGAGACTTAACTGTTCCAGATAATATGGGGTTTGTCGGGACAACATGACCTTCAACACACAAACAGTGTCCGAATTCTACATAACCCTGAGATTTCTCTGATTTATGTGGAGACTTTAAAGAAGAAACTATTCTCTAAAACATACCACTAAAGGTTTAACGGCCAAAGTACAGGAAAAACAATCGTCAGAATCTCAATTCCATATCAGTTGTGTAGTAAGATTAACGTTCGATGAAGCGTATTTGGTTATAATACATCAGCAACGACATGAACAAACTGTTGATACTGCCATCCGTATGGATGTTTGTTATAACTGCGAGATAACTCCCTCGTGTTCACTGAAACGTGACTGATTTAGTTCGATGTAAGGAAAGATCCAAGTGTTCGAATGATCCAGAAAACTTCTCGCAAAAGGTAAGAAAGGGTCAGGAAACACTATGAAGCATTTCATCCAATCAGCGTTCACTTAGAGTTTAGCCGGAAACATCAAGAAAGTGAAAAGTCACATGTAGGGTTTTTGATTAGCTGATTACTACATTGCTACTATGTTTAGTAGCATTCTAGAATCTTCGCGAAACCCAAGGACATCTAATATACTATAAAAGCCCCATATTTTCTGTACTAAAACGAACCTCTGCAGTAAAGTGCTTCTCGCATATTTTGCGCCTTTTTTCTCGTGTCCAGGTCTCTGTGTAGTTCTAGCCTGGGAGTTACGGGAAAAGCTTAGGAACCCGATGTGGCGTTCGATTAGCAAGACTTGTCACCAAGGTAACAAACGCAAACCACTGGTCAACACGAGATCATATACGTCAAGCCAGTAGAAAGTTTGAATGTATTGAGCGAGAATTATTTGACACTATTAGATCAGAAATTCCGTGTGTATAATTTAATAAATCACTAGATTAACTGTTTTAACGGTTTACTGGGTTTGTTTTCTCCTTAACTCCTTTCTAAAAATTGAAAAGTTCTATTTTTTCACGAATGCTTTTATTGCTTAATAGAACTATTTGCTTAGAACCTGGTTCATAAATTTGTAGTTCTTCAGAAAGTGGCTTATGAGCCCCTCTTCATGTGTTATTTTTGTGTTAGCAATCGCAGTTTCTTTGAAAAACACCGGTTTACGTACCAACTGGCTCTTGACTGTGTTGCAACCTTCTAAGCAACGCAGTAACTTGCTCTGAAAAATCTTTTCCAGACACCACTTTACTAATACAATCCTGCGGAATCGAACTTATCGGTCCCGGGCTATTTTTTCTCAGGCCGTGTGGATCCGGTCTACTCTGGCTGTGAAAGTCCAGTTTAGAATCGAAAGGCATGTCAACAGTAGCAAGTTAAGGACTGTAGTGGCTGGTACTGTGTCAAACCCATATGGGTTGATCCAACTTTTGAATAGACCAATTGACTCGTTCTTCACAAGCCACATTTCGTTGTTTATATATACGATAGTATGTGTGTTAATTATTCCCCCAGTTCATTACATTTTGATCTGATCATAAATATTGGGTTATGCATGGTCAAATGGAGTTGGCCCACTCATCTCCGCATCGCTTTGTTTTCCATTTTTCCAACAACATTATCCGCTTCGTTTCTATGATTATCTATATGTATTTAAACCTCATTCCTGTATCTGACTTATTTGGTTCTGTTATTTGCTGACTCAGTTTAAGTCAATAGTGATATTCGAGGGTAGCTGGGGTATATGTAGAGATGACATTTTCATACGATCTAACTGTAGGCAGATCACGGCACCACAAAAGGATTGAGTAGATGACTAACGGAAACTAACGCATAAAACTGTTTTTTGAGTTCAGAGCTGTCAGAGCAGAAGTTTGTTAAAATTCTGCATTTTTGAAAAATGATAATAGTTCTTTTTCCCCATATATAATATTGCAGCTGGCAATAAGCAACTTATGTAATTGAGAGGCCATTGTTAGATAAACGTTTAGGCATGTGATCAAATAGGGTTTTCACTGTGAATGGAGGACAGATAAATATGAAGTGAAGGATACACGATCCGAGATTTATCACTTACTGATCATAACAAAAACAGATTAGCTGAAAATGCCACGATGTGATATAATATGTCTGAATAAATTCGGATGTGTAAAACTACTACATCGATTTCCTTAAACTCGATGAAGGAGGAGACCAAATGTGACTGAAACACATTGTCACTTGGTTTCTTACGTCTCTTTAAAATGAATGATTAGGAATAAATGGAATATGGCTAGTAGTGGAAGACAAGATTCACGTCTTCCCCATTTCACCACTCTTCACCTAGATGTACCTGGATAATATAGTCGACGTTCATTATGGGATTACAACCAGCAGTCTTTCGCTTCAAACGTTACCGTGTTGTACACTTAGCCACTGAGCTTAAACAATTCCTCATTCACGTCTAGGGCATGGGTTTCAATTTCACTTGTAATTTAGTGGCCGAACATTGATCAACAATAACTCAACAGTCTTTTGTAGCCACCTGATCTAACTTTGATTTGGATAGACGAAATGAATATGCTATGAAAATTGGTCTTCCACTTAACTCTGTGTATTTCCTAGGTTAACCCTCCTTGTGTGAAGACGGTTATGAGAAAACAAATAAGGGTTGAGTTGCATGAAGTTACCTCGGGCACTCGTTTATCCAAACAGACATTCAGAATAAGAAACGAAAGGGCAAAACGAAGCACAAAAGGCAAATGAGCCAACTCGATTTGGTCAAAAGTGACTCAGTATTTATAACCAGATAACAATAACTTGCAGACTTGTGATGAGTAGACTAAGCAATACATACACATTTGCTTGCTTAAAAAATTCAATGTTAACAAACGAGTAATCGATAAGGTCAGAATATGGCTCAAGAGAAAGGAATAAACTTGTCTGTCCCGAAGTTTTGACAAGCCATATAGGCCTGAAATAGTTTTTAAATGCTATTAGTCCCCACAACCTTATACTGACAATTAATAATTGTTTTGGTCATCCCTCTGTTGATATTTTAACCAAAACTTTATCAGTCTTAGTTGGTATATATGCATCTTATGAATACTGTCTAGATAAACCCATTATGACACAATTATATATAGAACAGATGTGTAGTTTAGGTGACGTGACTATGCAGAGGTGTTATTCGTACTGCAGATAACTTCTAATGACTGTATCTTTCGTAAAATCAGGAATTCAGAGAATTCCAGAATTCCTGGACCGTTGGTTTTTTCATTGACTCCCATCCCAGTTCAAACAGAAGAAAAAGACGATAATAAAGTGGCAAATGCACAAGAACGTGTAGAAGAGATACAATGAGAAAAAGTGTAGGTAAGAACTAGACCCAGTATACCTGAAGAATACTTTTCTAACAGGCATATGCACCAACGCTAACAACAATAACTGATAAAATCCCATCGTCATAATAGGAAAAGAATCCCATTAAGTCAACTAACGACACTCACTCCAAAGAAAAATGAATGTTCAATTCCATTTGCCCTAGAGGTGAGTAATCGAAACTGATCCCTAGTAATCAACTATGAGCATCCTAAAAAATACGAAAAGTGCTTCGGTCATAGCGATATACAGCAGAATCAATCAGAAGTTACATCAACAATGAAAGTACAGTGATTCAATGTGTCAGTTGCTAAAATGTAGTGCTAAGTAAAAC